ATCTCTTTAATACGCATCAAAGTTGCAGTTCAGAATATGGCCTCTAACGGTCATACCTGTGTAAAGTGTACATTACCTATCTTGTATACTAAACACAGGTATGACCCCGTCATCGTAAGTACTAAGAAATAAAACTAATAATTAAGTAGGTACCTAGTTTCAATATTCTTAGCAAATAGTTAATCTTTCCTTAACACCTTTTTTTTGTCAGGGGAAAATCATCAAATGATTTCTCCCACCCAGGGTAAGGCGAGAGACAGTGTCAGACTCTTACTGAATAAAAACCCCCCGTTCCTTCTCCTGCTCTGGGCCGAGACCGCGGTGACTCATCGCGCTTAGCCCGCTACCCCGGCTGTTCCTTAACACCTAGAAGTTGGTTTTGTTACATTATAAAGGTATAAGTTAAAGTTAAATACTTACTAGATAATTTTATATCGCGTTACTGGATAGATACTTAGGTGCTCAAATAGGATTTAACTCGGAACAATAGGTACAAAATAAACTCGTTACCTATGTTCTTAAATCATAAAATATTAAGGAATCGATCCTTAGAAAAGTAGTTCAATTGCCGGCATAATTGCTAAAAAGTGATCTCACACAGATTACATTTTCATGGATAAGTACCTAGTAGGTACCTAAGGGAGATTATATGGACAAGTATAGTACCTAAGCAACTATGCAAATTCCTAATCCAGTAGATAACTTACTAAAACATTAAGTTGGTACCTACCTAACAACTAATTTAAGTTATTTATTTCATTTGCCAACAGCACTTTCTGCCAGTCATATTTTAGCTAGATGTATCTGCGTTGTAGGTTGTATGCAGCACTACAAGTAGTTAGTTATAGGTAGTAGGTTATATATGTATAATTCATATAAAAATAAAAACTTGCCACTTACTCTCGCCGCCTCCAATAAACAAATACGCATGTCCTAATAACGGATAAGCTTTTATGTCACATTTTATTTGGCTAGACAATTGTAGGATTCGGCGGTTTTTGAACCATCTATAGGTCAACCCGAGGCTCACGACCAAGAGGACGAGCCACAACATAGTCGCGATAGACTTCGCTATAAACTGTGACGTAGTACACTAGCATTCATCTTATATACTTAGGTACCTAGTAAAGTGCCTAGTGACTAATTATAGAACTTGTTTTATAATGGTAGTTGAGGTTGTATTATAGAATAAATTAGTTAAAATGCCATTAAAACAGTTATAAATATACTCGGAGCTACCTATTCTAATATCTATTATGACGTTTTTTTATAGGTTGGGTGGGAACAAAACTATGGGAGAATCATGCTTTGGTACGAATGGGTCAGCTCGATCGGAGTTATACCACAGCCTCATAGACAACCGGCGTGAAACAACCAGAGCGTTGTTTCGCCGTGTGAGTGAGGTTACCGGAGGCCTAATCTTTACCCTACCTAATCTCCACTGATTGGCTCCAAATGTTAGTGTCGGCCATCGCTGTCGCTCGCTGTAGGGACACTGTCTCGCATAGTGTCTCCATTTCGCATTTTTGTGACGCAAATTTTTCCATATTACACTTTTTTATGTTTTATTACCTTGTTTTTTTGTTTTTACGTTTATACACTTGTTTATTTTGTGTCCTATATGCGTCCTAGACGCGAATAAATACTTTTGTTTGTTTGTCTGCTTGTTTAACCCTTCCCCAATCTCTCAACCTCCAAATCCCTAATATGCAAAAAGTCGGTAACGCACTTGTCACTCCTATGTTGTTGCGGGCGTCCATAAGCGGCGCTAATTGCTTACCATCAGGTAATTGGTCTACTCGTTTGCCGTCCTGCCACATAAAAAAGCAAGGAACCTAGCAGACAGGTCATGTGCTGGTAAGCAATTACTTCTTCCCAGGGCTATACGCAACACTTGAGAAATAACAAGTGATTTCGTGTACAGTAGGTAGGTCGGTACCTACGCTTAGAGATTCTTGCCCTTCCCAGTACTGGATAAATGTATAACAGCTCCCACATACGACCCGTTAAATTTTAAGCAAGTTTTCCCTGGTTCTTGATGATAGAGGTGACTTCTCCTAGATGTGCAGTCTCTTTTTTGCCATTACAGCTTAAGTCATAACTATCTCCTGCATTAAATTTATCGAGGGATGTGAAAACATTCTAGATGTTTACTGTCCTCAAATAATATATTCTGATTAATTGCGTTGCAGGATCCATGATGGTATCAGCCGGGGTTGCAGCCTTGCAGGGTAAGCGCAATGAGCAGGAGAAGGAACGAGGGGTTATTAGTCAGTAAGAGTCTGACACTCCCTCGGAGAAGCCAATTGATGATTTTACCCTCACAAAAACAGAATACATTACAAGAACAACTAGGTTTACCTCCTTAGACTTATAATTATTATAACAAATGAAACCGTTTTTGTCATACCTACAAGGCTAGAGATCAAGAAAATACTTTAGATTAGCTGCAATGCCATTTTAATTATACTTAATGAAACAAAAACAAACGTAAAGTCAGTATGACTCACGTCAACCCTAGTATTTACTGAATAAATCATTATCCTTCTAAATGCACGTAGATAGGTAGAAAGTATGAAAGTACGTATAGATTTTCATAAAATTAAAGTAAGTATAAACTTCGTAATTTTAATTACCTACCTCTTAGGAAAGTCTTAAGCTGAAGAGTTGTTTGTTTCAAAGTGTAGGAACCAAGATCCGGCATTGTGCCGGGTTGACCGGAGTGATACCACGGCCTCACGCTTCAGAGAAAACCGGCGATAAACAACCACAGCGTTGTTTCGCCTTGTGAATGAGTTTAACGGAGGCCCAATATCCACTCTCCTCCCCTCACCTTCACTGCAACTCCTTTGAAGTTAAGAGGTCACCATGGGCGGTGGCTATTGCTTACCATCAGGTAATCCGTTTGTTCCTTTTCACCATATCACTAAAAAACCAATGTAAAAAACAGGAATAAACATTAAATGTCACTTATCTTGCATTTACGTACACCGTGACGTACACTAACTTATTCACTAAGTAATAAAGATGTTTAAGTGTGGGAGAGCCAAGCTTCGGCACGAATGGGTCGGCTCGACCGGAGTGATACCACGTCCTCATAGAAAACCGGCGTGAAACAACCACAGCGTTGTGTTTCGCCATGTGAGTGAGGTTACCGGAGGCCCAATCCTTCCCCTCCTCCAATCCCTAAATCTCCAAATCTCTAATCCCTAAAAGGTTGGCAACGCACTCGTAACTCCTCCGTTGCGAGTGTCCATGGGCGGCGCTGATTGCTTACCATCAGGTAATCCGTCTGCTCGTTTGCCGACCTATTAAATAATAAAAAAAAAAAGTTGTGACGTAATTTGAAGTAAAATATAGCATGTATTGGTGCAAACATTTTAATTAATGAAGAGACAAGAAACCTCATGTAATTAGTCAAAATAATAATTAAAAAAAACACATTCGTACCAAACTTTTGTATATTGAACAATAAATATTACCAAAAATTAATTTATTATCTGTACAAAAATAAATGTATTTATTTCGTCCATTATTACATCATTTCATATAAAATATTTACATTTAACATTTTTTTTATATTCGTCTTAAAAATAACTACCTATACCTACCTACCTGATAAGAGCCTGTCCACAGAACGAAAAAAAAATGGCGCTCACGACCATATCTAAACAACGCGTTTCATTTTTTCGCGCGCGTTTTTATTGCTTACGCAAATAGGTACTTGCGAAGTCAAATCCAGTGAAATTTGATGTGCTTGCTTTTACTAGATTTGAGTTGGTTTTTAAATGCTGCCATTTCGACTAATTATTGTGTAAATAATACACACATAAAACAAAAACGATGTAGGTACCAGTATCCGCAATACTAAATTAAAAACATTGTACACAAGTGGAATAACAAATGCAATCTTCGTAAAAAATATTATACATTTTTGATCTTATTATTATGAATAAATCATATACAATGTATTAAGAGGCCGTTATATTAAAAAATATATTATTATTATGCGATTTTCACCCCTGTCACCCTTAATAGTATAAAATGCTTGATGATAAATTACATCTTAAAATACAAGTAATTCGTCTAAGGTCTGATTTTTCTATAGTCGAATAAATGTTATCTGTGGAATAAAATAGTGCTGTCACTGTCTTATACAAACAGTCTAACGCGACAGCATCATAATTATTCCCCAGGTAACTTTTATGTAACCATTGAGAAATCAGCCCTAAGTCTTATTGCTAGCCGAAAGCTGTAATAATGCGTATCCTCCGTGTCGACCATATTTGACAGGAACTCTGAGTACCTAATGTCAGAAGAGGAATTTTATTCCAAAATATTTTGAGAGATTAGTTATTCGACCGAAAGACACGGTAATCGCATTATCAAGTATTTACATATCAGATTCATTACATACCTAAATTAATATAAAATTCATAACACTTTTTGAAGTACAAATACTTCGTTTTCGTTGAAAAAATAAAAGCCTAACTAGTGTACAACAAAAATGGAAGCATTGTAAATTAAATTGTGATTTTAGTAATTGGCTATAACTACATACTGTGTCAAAATGTTCTAGCCAATCTAAGCATATGCAAAAGAAATCTAATCAATTTTCAAAACTCCTATATGTAGTCCGTTTTTACCGTTTTATAACTAGATGGCGCTAATGAAGAATATTAGCTTGTGTCACACTTTTAGACGTCCTACTTTTGATAACTATTTTTAAAACAAACTGGCCTCTTGCTATATAGATAAGCGCCTTCTAGTGACAAAAAATTGTAGCCTTCATTCATTTAAATAAAGAAATTACTTAACTTCTACATTACCACACTGGAAAAATTAAAATCTTTGATAATTTTCTTATAAAACAAAAAGTTTAAAATCTATATTTAAGCGTAGCGCCACCATCGCTTTTTGGCTCCTAAGACTAGTTCAACACATTGGATACCGTACCAGACAATGATCACCAACGCTGGTGGAGGACAAGCCTAACAGTTTTTTTTTTGCAGTTAAAGGCTTATTACAAAGTTTAAGTCTCAATATTGACTATGTTTGATGTTAAACATCTTGACAATTACAATTAATATGTTACCAAGTTACATTCTCTTTACTGGAATATCTTTGCCTATAAAACTATACGTTTTGAAGCAAAATACTTGGAGGTTATTTATTATTATTACTAAATTAGTTATAAAAAATACTTCACAACCGAAAAATCTTCATTTAGAAGACTTTCTTAATGTCCTATTATAAATTAGACTTAGTAATAGACGGCATACCGACATCAGCGTAAATTTTGTTCCAGAACTCGACTCTTTCCTTATCTAAATTATTTGATAGTTTTAATTCCTCGTCTAGTATTAAATATTCTTTGTTAGATGGTGAGCACGGCAACCATTCTACGACCTCTTTGGTAGGTGTTGGATTACTGAAAAAAAAATACAAAAAAAAAATTAGTATTTATTAACTTTCAAGTTTATGAAAAGTATGTGTAACGATTAATGATATAAAGAAATAGACGCATGTTATAATAGAAACGGTAGCAACATTACTCATGTTTGTGTAGGTATAATAAGGAATGTAAATAATGATAATATAATAATAACACCTCATATATTAACAATACAATCAAACAGCATAACTATTCAAATAAATAATGCAATAAATAAAAAGATCTATCTAGTATTGACTATCGAGTCATTTATACATTTTACTATATTTATTAAGCATATTTTTTCACCAGTACAAATTTTTGTAGACTTAGCTTTATTCTGCAAATGTTTATTACTTGAGAACATTAAAACATAAAATTATTAGATACTAGCTTCAGCCCGCGGCATCGCCCGTGTGGTATAAGTATTTATAAAAGGAAACCTACGTGTTATCCATAACCTATCGGTCCAGCCGTTTTTGTGTGAAAGAATAACATACATACATCCGTACATATACATTCTCACAAACGTGCACATTTATAAAGTTAGTAGGATGTATAAAGTGAAATTCTAACTTACCCAGTCTTTGCAAAATCTGCCCAAAACTTGGTCATTTGGTATATTATCTTTTTCAGTTTTTCATTTTCATCGTACAAACTTCTGCTTACTTCACTATGAAATAGATAAAAGAGATCGTCGGCGTGACAGCTGCCCTTAACGTTATCCAATCCGAAAACATTTTTCAAAAAGTTTAACTCTGTACAATATTCGAACTTGTACAAGTAGATTGGAGCAAACTTTTGATAAAAATGTACAAATCTGTTAATTTGGTATGTAAAGTTTATATCCGTTTGCAGATCTACAATGGCTTGACTGTCATCTGTGGTCATATCTTTGTCACCAAAATAAAACTTCTTTATTCGCTGTCCTAATTCTTCTAATGTTTCTTTAGATACCTTCGTAGCTACATCTCTGGGAACAAAGTACGATGGCTTCTCATTCAAGGTCTTTATCTTCTTTACATGGTCATTGACCATCAACAGGCCTTCCGCGGAATTGTAACCAATTATCATGGGTACTTTGCTTATTTTCCCAGCTAACAAGAGGTCTAATGGGTTTTCCGTTAGGAACTGTTCCTGGCCCTCGAACTTTTTCTCTATTGTTGGTGTAAAGTAAATAGGTAACCCTCGGTACTTCTCGTCCGGTGTTCTCGTTTGTATTGAGAGCCTGGCTAATTCTATAGCAGGGAATCCTCTCAGGTAATTTAGACATTCATTGACATCATTTGTCTCTTTACCTAATGCTTTCGCTGCTCTGAAAGCGCGTGCCACTGGCTCGTGGAAAATAGACCAGTACGACAAACAATTCCCGCTTTGCGTAATAACCTTGTCAAAGAGCCCTTGTGACATCGGCGAGAGCATATGCAGGGTAGCGCAAGCGGCACCAGCACTCTCTCCAAATAAAGTGATATTGTTAGGATCCCCTCCAAAAGTACTGATGTTCTCTTTGATCCAACGCAAAGCTAGAACTTGATCCTTCATGCCAGCATTGCCCGGTACTTCAGGGGTGTCTAGACTGAGAAAACCTAGTAACTCCAACCGGTAGTTTATTGTTACTAGGATCACATCGTGTTGGAAGAAAAACTCAGGGCCATAAGCATCAGAATTACCAGAACCTGACAAGAAAGCGCCTCCGTGAATGTAGACCATCACAGGTAATTTGGAGCTGGGTAATAACGATTTTGTGTACACGTTCAAACTGAGGCAGTCTTCATTTCCTTCTACGAAATCTACAATGCTCATGTCAAATTGAGGGCAGACTGGGCCATGCTCGATTGCGTCGCGTATACCCGTCCATGGCTGCACTGGTAATGGCGCCTGCAAAAAAAAACCATTGATAAAGTCTTGAGAGAAGAATAAAGCAATTAATAATTATGGAGTTGTGTTAACTACAGTCAAACACCGATTTAAGCACATTTTATACAAGTGTTTAAAAAAAAATTTGTTTGTAAGACCAAGTGTTTTTAACGTCACATCTATAAATACTAATATTATAAACAGATAAAATGTAAGTTTGTATGTAGGGGGTAATCTTTGAAACAGCTGGTCGGATTGCCAAAACTCTTTCACTGATAGATAGCTACAATGTTCCTGAGTGCTATAGGCTATCAAACATAACGCTACGATCAAATGGAGCCAAGCAGCGAGTAAAATCACTCAAGAGCAGCTAGATTTTAAATATTGACATTATATTCGAGCTTATAAAAAACCTATCCAAAAGTATAAAGTATATATTACCTTAAAGCGCAACTCTCCAATGGGTGGTTGGCCATAGCGAATGCCTTTGAAGCTGTAGTACGGAGATCCATCCAGACACTTCTTGACTGCTCCCTTCAATTTCCCTTGCTTTACAGTTACAATAGGGTTTTCCTGAAATTGAAACATTTCAATATGATCAAATAGGTTTCAGTGGGTGGTTAGATTCTAAAATTCGAGTCTGTCTAAGAAAATATGCTAGTTTGGCAAATTTGTATCAGTATTAAGTATTTCAGAGCTATTTATACTGTTCTCTTTATAAGATGTTTATTACTTGAGCTCTATATTTTAAAGTTTGAAGATTTTCTCATAGATAATAGATTTAATTATATTTTAAAATATTAGAGCAGAAATAATTATTTTGTACTGAATAGTAATTATGAGAAAATCCTTGAAGTTTACAATGCGAAACAGAGATGAATTACAGGCAGATAAAATATAGGAAGTCTGTAATAGTTGATAGCTTATCTATGACAGCATGAAACATCAACAAGACATCAATTGGACTTTAATCCATGTAATAATACTTAGTTGTGAATCATTTTAAATTACTTTTTTTTTAAGCTGGGTTAATCAAAGTCCATAGTGCAAGGTTGCTGTTTGCAAAATAGATAACCCTGTCCTCCATATTAAGTAGATACCAGCCTAGATATATTACAATCATTGTCATCATCATGCCTTCAATTTCCCCAGGATATAGGAAGGACAAAATTTAACAAAACACCTTTTGTCTGTACATAGGTAATGTAGTTCATAATTCATGCATATAAATGTTTGAAAATAACCCTATTTTCGTGGCTCAAAATTTTAGAGATGTGGTAGGGTAATTTTGGAAAGTAATACTGCTTTTGGAGCTGTAGTGGTTTGCAAACAAATGAGTAATACCATGGAACCAAGAAATACCAAGTGATTTTTTGTTAACATAGTAACAACCCACCTCTGTAGGTCACTGGTTTGAAGTAAATTCCATTTTCACTTTGATATGTAATGGACTTAAACTTCATACATCAGGTGTTTTGCATTTTAAACTCTATAATTTATTAATAAATTAGGTATATTCATTCTATTATAGTAATGAGTATTAGTTGGTAAACTATAAGTACAAGATAGTAAAGAAAGCATGATAGGAAAGAGAAAGAATCTAAGATAAAGACACTATTAATTGTTGGTTAAATAGTAGCCTTCATCTTAGGATAGGTTACTTACTGAGTTTTTTTATAAATAGTACCTATGTAAAGTAAGATACTTAATCTTTTTTATTAAAGATTTATGAATTGATTTAAAATTATAATTTTATTATTTCTTACTATCAACTGCAAAAGACAATAGTTACCACAAAAGTTAAAGCTTGGAGTGCTCCAAAATATTATTAAAACACTAACTATTCCTTTTTTAAACTATAACTGTAAATAAAAATCAAAATGGTATCATATCTATATTCAAGACTTCATAAAGTTGAAAACTAAAACACATTTTTTTTTATTTTAAAACTAGGTAGGTACAGCTGTGAGTCTAGAAATAGTTTGAATAAAGTTTGAAATCTACAAAAAAGTGGTTAAATTTAATTTTTCCGTACCTGGCCTTAAGTAAATATTTTTATATGGAAATATCCATTAAAAAAAAGTATATCACATTCTTTAAAAAAAGTACCTATGTATGAGTTCATACAAAACAAAAAATAACCTTTACCTACCATATTTAAACGTAGAATTAAAACTGCTTTCAGATACTTCTTAATTAACTAACTAACCAATGTAACAAGTTCACAACACGAGTTATTTTATTGTTTTATTTTTAAAATAAGATCGAAGTTTTGTAAACGTAACACTGCCAATGCCATCCAATTGTACTGAGAGAATGCTTGTAATTTATGTTAATCGTTGATTATACAACTCATTGTTGATAAAACAACTGATTAGAATATCAATTACCTATGTAAACTACAGAAATATTTCAAAGAAATTTATTTTATAGCAGCTAAGTAGGTATTAGTAAACAAATTCGTGCTCTCTGTCAAACGAAGTGTCAAACTTGTTATCAAATGTGAAAGTACAAGTTTTATTGACAAGTGGCCGAACTTCACAGTCGCTTTGTACACTTTTTATCTTACAACAAGTCTTATAAATACCTAGTAAAATATATCAAACTCACCTTTGAACTGTCAACAGTCGAAAAACACCTAGCACCCGGCTTCGCACGGAATATTAACCTTTCAACACTTTTTATAACAAACATTGTTTCTTTTGCTGATCTCGTGAGCATGAACTCTACAAAAGTGTAAAATTATTTTATCTGCGTTCTATATACCCCACACCCAGTTAAAAATATTGGGTCCAAAGGTTAGTGTACCGAAATCGAAAGAGAAACTTTGCACGAGTGTGAAAGAGATAAAGATATTTTTTTTCTGTGTGTGCGATACGTATTGTCACAGCTACGTCTTATTATCTTGTTGTGCGGTGCAAAGTCCAGTGTTTTTTTGTACACATACTTGATATCTCTCTATTTATATCGCCAAAACTATTATTGACACAGGAACACAACTATTATATATTATTATCTACGTAGGTATGCAGGCACTCTTATACGTAGGAAACCATTGAAAGTAGGTACCTTTCAAAGGTTAGTACCTAGGTTAGGTAATCAAAATTTACCAATTATTTTAATAGAAGTAAGCAATACCTACATGATCTGTCCGAAAACTTATTGCGATTAGAATATCTACGTAACAATTTAAATGGGTACCTAATTCTATTTTTTTATGTGGGTAACTAGATACTAATACTTAAACGAAGTAACTGGTATGGTTGTATGGTTCACACATTTTTCTCTTGTAAATAATTTACTGTCATTCCTCCACAACCATAAGACTGTGTACAATATGGTACCATGGCCCAGGCCCGGAGCAGGAAAAAGAACGGGGGGTTTAAGTCAATAAGAGTGACACTTCCCTCTCGTCTCACCCTGGACTGGAGAAGTCATTTGATAGTTTCCCCTGACGAAAATAACCCCTTTTCCAAAAAGCCTGTACTAGGTCCCGTAGACCAGTTTCTTAAGCTGCGGTAAGTTATACAGCAGACTATAAATTGCTACTAAGATTGTCGGTTGTGTAGACTATGAAAAAGCCTTTGATTCTATTGAGACTTGGTCAGTATTAAGGTCTTTCCATCGGTGCTATGTTGACTATCTATTTCTCCAGTTATCCAGGTTTTGAATGACATGTACAAAATTGTACCGATCGATCCGAGTCGACGACGAGACACGTCATATCTCCGAATCTTTTTACCACGGGACAGGAAGAAGCCTTCAAACTCTTGAAAGGACCTGGCAACAAAGTCAAGTGGGATATTTTTAATCTTGAATGTATGAATGGTGTGCCTAATGCTGATACTAAATCAAACATCATCAACCACTAAATCTATTAAAAAAAAACTCAACAATACGGTACCCCGGTAACCGGTTTTTGCCGGTTTTCTGTGAGGCCGTGGTATCACTCCCATGGAGTCGACCCATTCGTGAAGCACGGCTCTCCCATAAATAGTTTGTAGTGATAGGCCATAGATGCCTGAAATAAAATGATTATTAAAATAAATAATAGAAATTATCAGAGAATGAGATATTGATATGAGAATGAGTGAGATAAAACTGTGATGCCTATTCATAACATTAAAATAATCTAAGTACCTACTAGTCAGCTTTTAAGTCGGAGATGTAAGAAGAACCGGCAAGGTGACAAAATTTATTATACAAAAATATATATAAGCTAAATAATTATGTTTTTAATAAAATTACTTATTTGAATTATCCAATAATTCTGTAGGTAACATTAAAGTTTTATTAGTTCTGGTGTCGTAACGCCTATCAAATATTTGATAGCAACTAGTTGTAAACTCTCTTCAAATCTGCATGTCTCATGGACTACAAGAATTACAGATATCCTAATATTCATTAGGCTAGTGTATAATAGTTACATACTAAGTATCCTATATAACTGTCTATTATAATTACAACTAACAAGTATGTAACTTTAAATGGTAAAAGTATAATTTTTAAACTTAGGAAATTTTTATCTGACTTTTTCTATTTCGTAATGCCTCTCTTACATTCATAATGTAAAGATAAATAACCACAACGGGTACATTGTATTAGATTTTTCTAAAGAAAGAATGAACCCATCGTAGGTATTTTACTGTAATATTAAAATCAATCGGTCACTTCTGTGATTATTTTGCTACCACCTACTATCAAGTTATATCTCTAAATATGACCGCTACGCGGCGCTAGTAGGGGCGATAAAAGCGCGCGAATCGTGTACGTACCTCTTGCGCGCCAATTTCAAATTGAAATAGGACATTAACAACAACTTGCGTTTCATTTTATTGATTAATTTACACATTTTATTTGAATAAATATTATTATATCCACGATAAAATACCCTATCATTTGCACGACAAAAACTCACAGGGCGATTTTGATGTCGCGATATGACCGCAAAAATTCACCAATAGAAATTGCTGATTTAGTCTACCTGCCAGCTTATCAGGGCACCCACTTCACCCACCTTCAGTGTAAATAAGGATTAGCACGATTATCAGTTTTATTGTAGCCAGGAATTATTTTAGAACGAGTTTTACGAGCGGCGCGCGTTGCATTGAACAATTGTGCAAATAAATGTAATTTTTTGCTATTATTTGTATTAGAATTATTATTTTTAACTTTATATAATATATTGAAAACATGACACATTTTTTGGTGTTGCTGTATGTGTGCAAACACACGCAACTTGACGCGTGCGCGCTCTTTGTAGAGCGCAACTACGCTGATTGTACACTGCTGTAGCTACTTACACACCTAGCTGAACCAGTTGCATACTTTTAAACATATAACAAAAACATTTGCGCTCTCGTAAACTAATTTATTATAGTTTTAACTTACTTTAATTTGGTATAAAACAAATCACAATTCATCCCGGTATTCTAAATAAAATGTAACCTTAAGCATGTATGTGCCTCGTTATTTCGCAATTGATAGATTGACGCATCTAACATAAAGCCACAGCATTGAAAATGTTTTGATATTATTTTAAAAACAGTTATATTTTAATGATGAAACATTAAGTTTAAAAAAAATTAAAATTACAACACGGAAATAAATTATTTGAATATTATTTAAAAATAAAATCGAAATTATAAATTATTCTGTAAGCTTGTCGATTTATAGTGAGTACGTAGTCTGATTCGAAGAATTTGATACTGTTGTGGCATACTTATAAAAGATATAGGGATGAAGTTATCAAAACTGTTTTAAGTCACAAACTTCTCTGACACTTCAGCTAAATAACAGAAACATCTAAGAATCTACAAGTGTAAAACCTGTGTGTAAAACTATAAAGTATGTTTTACTACTTACTTATTGGACATAGACAGAATTCATAGACAAAACATTTTTAACCAGATGAAAAAGTGCGAAAAATACTCGAAAGAGCAGAATCGTTGGCAACAATAACATTTTAGCTGGCAACTAAGGATTGCATATCGAGCCTAGATTTCATAAAAAACTAATATTCACAGCATTTTTAAATACAATAAGCAATAAATTAATATTTGCCAAGCAATACAAAAGTAATCGCACAGTGATACAAATTGCGACCGCCGTCTGGACAAAATCAAAGTTCGTAATAAAAAATATAATATTGCGAAAAATAATGAAGCTCGTTATCTCCTAACATGTGTTCTTGAGTAATAATTTCTCACGGGTTAGTCAATATTAATGCAGAACATTTTATTAAAAAACACTTGGAAACAGTGATTTGTTGCTTCGAATAAGCGTTGTGTTTACATTACATTTTGTCGTGTAATAGATTCTATTTTTTTTATTAATTCTAACAAAAAGTATCTATATTGACGACTTGTCAACTATGTGTCAAGATAACGTCAGATTCGTTGCATTCGATATGCAATCCTGTGGATATTAGGATATTATTGACACCACTGATACCCCAAACGTAAGGAATGTCAACACATATCTTTGATCGCTAATATTTTATTTGAATAATATAAAAATAAATTGTATTATTCACGTAAACATTTTCTAAATTACTGCTAATTATGAGGTGCCCAGAAATATATGGATATTATTTGAAATATAATTTATAAGACAGGAAAACCAGTTTAAGGATGAGCTTTAATCAGATACGTCCTAGTCAGTCAAAAACAGTAAAATAGCCATTACTTTTTTATATAAAATTCTGCACTATGATTATTACCTAACCTTTTTCACTTGGAACATGCACTCAGATTCAAAAAGGTTACCCTTTTAGCGACCGTTTAGTTTTCTATAAAGACTTGCACCGTCATTATTTACAACCCCTTCGGATAAACCCTTGACAACAAACCTTTTTAACATTTTAAAACTCCCTCAACAATAGATGATGTATAGGTTTTTTTTCTAGCCGGCCAGGATTATGCAACTCTTCTGTATAAATGTTTTAATATTTAAAAGATTAGCGTCATGTTATTGCGTTTAGTATAGGTAAATATTATTTTTATATCGAATGTTTTTATTTGTGAATAAGATTGAAGATTTTAAAGTAGGTAAGTAGGCACATGAGCTATGTAATCCTAGTGTTGAAAAACAAACATTTATAGTTGCTTAAACGAATAATATTTTATAACCTATAACTTTAAAAAACTTCGAATCGAATTAGCGGAATAGAAGCACTACCTACAATTTCCATAGTGATAATTTAATGTTACAGATTTAAATTTTAACCTACAGAATTTTACTTTGAAATGAGTTTTTTGATGAGATGTCTACCTACCTATTCCGCCATCCTTCCATTAATTATTTACTTTATAAACCGTGTTTCTTTCTAAAGACACATCGTTAAAAAATATAATATTATTTTCTTTAGTGAACAATACCTAACTACAGTAATCCTACTAGACTAGACTCTATTTGGATCCCATTTTATACCAGCAACTATGAAGGATTTCATTAATGATCGTGACTTTTTAAAAATAACGTATATCTGAAGGCAGAATGAAGTCACTAAAGCAACAAGCATATAATGATGTGTGCAAGTGTGCGCGGGCGCGGGTTAAGTCCGCAGAATTATGCTCGGTGGCGAGCTAGTGTTTGGTGGCGCGAGGGGCGCGTGCGATGGGGTTGAATTTGTAGGGATGGGGGTACGTATCGATACTTTTGGATGTTTTTTACTTTTATTACATCATAAGCCCATAAGTGCCCACTGTTTGAGCATTAACCACCACGCTTGCTCAAGGAAGCCTAAATCTCCCAAATACATTAGGTATATGGGAGATTTATGCATTGGGGAGGAATTTGAAGAGGGGAGGGATTGAGCTTCCGGT